GCCGGCACTAATTTGTCTAATGTGCGCGGCCCTACACCCTATGTATATGCGGAGGCTTTTAATTTAGCTTTTTGCAAATCTATGTGCATTTTATGCAAAAATATCTAATAGATTAAGTGCCATGGCAGTTTCTGAACACGCTGTACGGCGTTATACAGGGATGCCTAAATTTGTTCACAAACTGTTCTGTACGCTGCGGGCTCGCAAGGGAGGCATGGGAGGGGGGTAGTTTCTGGAACAAAGGGCCGGTGAATATATTCACGGATGGGTCCGAAGCTTGATGGTAGTATTAAAGCAGGCGGCTTCTGTCAGGAACTACACTTACATATATAAAATTAAGGTTACCGGACTTCTGCAGAGGTAGCCGATACCGTTTAGTGGGGTAAATATCTACTCTGACAGCCAAGCGGTGACCAGAGCGCTGGGATCGCTGATGGTAAGGCCAAACTTGCTCTGGGAACGTCTGATCTCTCTCTCTCTCTCTATAATGCCTTAGATTAATTCCACATCACACTTATTTGGCTTTCGGCACACAAAGAGATTTGCAGGAAAAAGCAGTGCTAATGAAGTGGCCAGGTAGGGCACCATAAAAGCCATCACCAATGAAAGGGATGTCGTTGGGGTACTTGCGCACTTCTTATGCAAAAATCGAATTTTAGTCGGTCAAGCATACGCTAGAACCTTCTCCAGCTTACTAAGCGATAGCTGTCGGCTTTGGTGGGTATTCGGACTGAACACTGCCCAGTGGGAGCTCATGTAGTACGTCTTCAAATTGCTGCTCAGCTGTCCTGCTTTTACGGAGCTCAGGTTTAAGCAGCTTGGGTCGTACTTTGTAATTTCTGAACTCTCTAGAGTGGACATCAGCTAACAGAGGCGGTGGGTTTTCTCAAAGACTGAGGTAAGATCAGCCGATCCAGACACATACACGGCGTTATAACTAGAGTGTCGGTAATCTTATGTCGAAAGAGAGGGGGGAGAGAGTCTGATGGCGTTCCTTTGTTGCGGATAGGTCTGGTGGGAGCGTATGATGGGTCAACTGGTGAGCGGCAGTATGGTGCTAGCAACGGGGCAGCTGGGGAGCAACGGTGTGGACACTAGCAGCACGGCAGTGTGGCTCTCACCAACGGCGGGGCGACTGGTGAGCAACGGTGAGGGCGCTAACAGCACGGCGGGTGATTCTCCGTAGCGGCGGGCGGCGACCAGCGGGAAACGAGGGGCTCTAGTGGCACGGCGTGTGAGCCTACGTAGTGGCGGATGAGCCTCTTTAGGTGATCCTTGCAGCGGGTGGCGTCTAATAGCAGTGGGTGGCTTCTAATAGCAGCGGATTGCTCGTAGTGGTACTCGGCGGCTCGAAAAACGATTACCGGCGAAGCAACCCAGCAAGACTACCAACACTCTTCTCTATTGTATCCCCCTTCGAGGGTCGATAGGCTGTGTACCGCCTGGCCTTTTGTCGTTTTCAAAACATTATTAACAAGGGTTTGTGATGTAGGGAAACAAATTTAAAAAAAATTCACCAAAACTGTGTACCCAAAAAATTTCTAAAAATTCTGAATAAAAAGTAGCCTACCTTTATGAATTTTTTTTAAACTTGATGAATTTTCGTGAATTTTGCCCCTTGACTTAGATGATTTATGTCATAGAATCGGCTATATTTAAAAAAAAAATGTATGAAAATATTTATGGGATAAAATATTTAGAATATTGTAATAGATATAGGTATGCTACTGTATGTATGTATGTATGTATGATACACGGCCGTAGTCGGGATTTTTTTTCGAGGGCGCTTCTGACAAAATATATTTTTATTTTCACTTTCATTTCCACATAGATTGATTAAAAGAAAAATACTGAAAAAGTAAAATATTTCACACAAACAGGGTTGAAATTTTGAAATTCCTGCCCCGTATTTTGTTTGTAAGGCAAATATTAGTGGCATTGTGCTACCATGAAAGCACGGCCGAATAATCATAGTCAACTTATGTACAGTAGTTAGTCGAAAAATTTAAAGCCGCAACAAATTTTGGCAAGTTTCATATAATTTTTGTTGTTATTAAATTTTGGATAGTTTCTTATAGTTCATTCTTTAAAAACATCCGTATAAACACAAGTTTAAAGGCAGTGTCACACGATTGGGCATTTGACGAATTTTTTGGTGCAAATGGTAACCCATTTATGTGAATACCCAAATATTTTTCTTTATTACAATCACGAAAAATAATTTGTTAAAATTCTTCAATAGAAGATTACTGTATTGTACCAATCTTTTGACTACAAAAAAAAATTTCGCAATTTTTTTTATTTTGTACAAATAGCACAATATAAAAATGCACAAAACTGTACAAATGTACCAATCGAGTGACACTGCCCAAAAAGTTTATGGAATTAAAAAAAAATGAGTATGCAGTTTTGTAGCCCATTGAATTCTAGTAGAATAAAGTACAAGTTTCAAATGGCTAGAAATTACGGTTGATTTCTTAGAATTCTTTAAAACGCTAGAAATTTTACGAAAGTTTGTTGATTTTTTTTTTTTTTTAATATAGGACAAAGTTGGAAACTTGGATTTATACGAATGAACTATATTTTTATAAAAAGAAAAATAACCAAAATTAAATAACAACAAAAATAATATGTTAAAACTTGGCAAAAGGTACATACGGTCTTGTATGTACGTATGTATGTATATCCCTAAATTCCGAGATTTAAAAATACAAAACATCTTCGATACTTTAGGAATAAAAGAGATTGATGCTTTGTGCTTTTACATTTTGGAATTCAGAAGGCATTTCTTATAGCTGCGACAAATTGATACGATAGAAAAGTCGGCCGCCTCTCGACAGGCAATGATAGAAGGTTTCCTTAAAACGCGTAAAAAGTCTCGAAAAATTATCGAGAACTCAAATATTCTTACAAAATATAAATATATGTATATGTATGTATGCTTAGTTTACTTTTTCAACAACCCACCCGACCAAGAAACGTATGTTAGCGGATGTTACGAGTTTTACGATAGTTTCTCTTACCCGCACGCTCCGGCTCACCTAAGAGTCTCGTATTTCAAACGGAAGTTTGTATTTTTGCTTTTCTGTCCGTTGAATGTATCGAGAATGTATTCGTTTAATAATTTTTCTCTAACTTTTCTCGGACAAAATATTCGAAAAAGTAAATAGAAGGAGGCACTGCTTTAGTTAACATTTTGTTAGAAATTTTCTATCATTACAAAGTAAAACGTTTTGTTTCATGTGCGTTCACGTAATACAATAATTGAAAATTGTAAGGAATCACAAAATAAATCAGAGTAAGTATTGAAACTCCTTTGCATGATAAATAACTTAAACTAATAAACTGACTATCCTTATCATACAAATAGCACAACTCACACAGTTGGATCAAACTTTTTAAGGAACCATATAAAACATCACAGTAAGTATAAATAAATAAATATATTTAACTAAGTAACTGACTATTTTTTTTTATAATGCCTTGGTCACTCATGCGAGTGATTTTGGGTTGCCCTTAATTGTTACTCGCATGCCATGGCGTATGAGTGACAAAGGGTGGTATTATCGCCTGCGAAGCGTAATATCATTGAGTGTTCGCGATGTAAAGAACTTATTATTTATCGCATCCATGTAGTTATAAAGTATCTATTTATTAAAGCTACTCAAGTTTTATTTTCTTAGAAAATGCCGCCTAAAAGAAAACGTCGCCAATACATTGCCGAAATTCGGCACTTTAAAAGAACTTCTGTTCAACATATTAATGGGACTGCAACAAGCACGACTCCTAAAGCAGCAGATATTAATTCAAATAGTGCTTGTAATGAAGCAGATCATACATATGACCAGGCATGGGCAGAGAGTTAGCAGGTGCTAAAAGAGCGTAAGCGTCGCGTGTACGTATACAAGCGAGAGCGCAGCGATGAGAACACGACAGCATGCAAAATGAATTAGGCACACTAACACATTCTCACTTTTAGCTCACGCTTGATTGTGGTAGTGCCCACCTCTGCATATGACGTACCAATAGACTCTCCCAACTTTACTGCTCGTCTGGCACGGTGGTTTTTAACGAATAATGTTAGCCGACAGGGTGCGAACGATTTGCTTGCACTACTGTCAGAGAAAATTTCTGATTTGCCACGTGATGTGCGCACGCTGAAATGTACACCACGGACGATTGTTAAAAGACTCGTACAACCAGGAGAGTACGTTCACTATGGAGTGAAAGACGCACTTACGGACTTTTTGCGCAATTTTCAATTTGACCGTTCAGACATTTCACTTAACATTAATATAGATGGTCTCCCTTTATTTAAAAGTTCCGTAAGCAAGTTTGGCCCATTCTAATAAATGTGCTTGATACTAAGCCCGTTTTGGTTGCGGGGATTTATGCCGGCTGCTCTAAACCGCAGGATCCCAATATTTTTTTAAGAGAGTTCGTTCAAGAATTCTTCTTCACAATGAATATTGCAAAACCAAAAATGCACTTGCAAATAGTTTATTAAACAAATTTGTGAAGGACGTTTCCTCATTATACTCTGGGACGATGTTAACATATAATTTTCATTGTTTAACCCATCTCAGTAGCCAATCAAGGATTTTTGGCTCTCTTGAAACCATAAGTGCTTTTCCTTTTGAAAATTTCTTAGGACAACTCAAAAATATGGTAAAAAAAAGTGATAACGTATTGGAGCAGCTTTATAACCGCATAGTTGAGCGAAGTTTATTTGATGTTGTGCACAAAGAATGTAAACTAAATTCAGACGTTTCCCGAAAAAATATTGTCTATAAGGACTTTTACTTTGACTTGAAAGGTACTAATTCATTTTATTTTGTTATAGACCATTCCGTTTACAAAATATACAAAATTTTTGAAATAGTCAATAATACTTTATTTAGTAATTTAGTTACTGACTTAGATCCTTTTTTTAGTTATCCTATAGACTCGACCTTGGTGGGTATTTTTTCTTCTAAAAGTTTCGAAATAGACTCTGAAATAATTAAACACCCAGTAGATAAAATATCTGGGAAAGTTTGTCATATTATTGACCAAATACATATTTATATGCCATTTATACATTATTAGGTTAAAATGGCACATCAATATACCGACCTTTTCAATATGGACGATGGAACAATTTACACACAAAGACCTGCACATAACAGCAACTTATATAACAACAACAATGAAATACAATTAACAGGTATTTATTGAATACTTTATAACAATTTCAAAAATTACAAAATAATCTTTATTAGAGATTCTTAAACTTTTGCATGACGTCTATGGAAAAGTTAGTGAATTAACAACAAAAGTCGATCGCCTCAATATGGAAATGATTTCTGTAAGGAACGAGGTTACTTCCATAAAAGCTAAAGTTTACGGAGAAATATCCATTGAGCGTGAAATAGTTCCTCGCTCTCCTTTCTCAACTTTAGAAGAAATTAATAACCTTGAAGAAAAACTTAAGAACGAAGAAGTATTTAAAAAATTTGTAAGTGTAGTTTTTATATATTTTCCTAAAAGAATCGGCCCTATCGCGAATTTCACATGAACAAATATTCCCAAAAATTATAAAGTAAAACAAAAACTATTTTTCCCAATTTGTTTTTGTTTTTTGCATGTCAAATTATGGGAACGATTTATTCAAATGGAATTGGCGATAGGGCTGAATGTTTCATTTCTCAATACAATTTACTACAAGCAGACACTATTTAATTTTGAATTTCCAATGATTGCATTAATATATATTTGTTTTAATATACCTATATTTGTATTCAGGTTCATGAAATTTGCACCAATGGAGAGAAGTCGTACGATAAATTTATAAGAAGCTCGTGGCGGTCATTGTTTGAAGACACGTTAGCGCAGCAGTTTTCATGGCGTGGGACAGGGGCAAAAAAATGCATAAGAGGGATGAATTTGGCCTTGGCAATTTGAAGTAAGTCGAACAGCTGTATCGAATAGTCATTTAATTTCTTTTAACATTTTATTCAGATGCGTTTACAAAAAAGTTTGCGTTGGAGGAGAGCGAATTTGACAAAGTAAGTCAACAATTTTTTCAGTACGCACATGACCGAGTCTGCTAAATTTACAAGTACCAGGAAAAAAACAAAGGATTCAAAATGATGTTCACGAATAATAAGTTTTAATAACATGTTCAAGTTATAATTTTTAAGTAATGAATATTTATTATTTTAATATTTAAATTGTTTTAAAACTTGATAAAACTGAACTCTATTAAATATAGAACAACTGTTAAAATTTTAAAAGCACTCTTCTTATATGGGAATCAACTGGAATGGAATAGCTCTAATTATCGTTTTCATTAATTTTTCGATAGAGAAACGGGTCGAAATATCTTTCGATTTCGCTACTTTCTCGATAATCGAAAAGATCGAAAACATTGCCGTTTTCATTAATTTCTCGATAGAGAAACGGGTCGAAATATCTTTCGTTTTCGCTACTTTCTCGATAATAGACCAGATCGAAAACATTGCCGCTTTCAATAATTTCTCGATAGCAAAACGGGTCGCAATAACTTCCGCCTGAGATACGTTTCCACTATCGAAAACACTTCGAAAAACCATTTGAAAACGCATGTCGAGAACGAGAGCTCTGCTGCCACAAACTGAGCGACAGGTAATACTTTTACGATACTTTTTCGGAACCCGTTCTCAATAGTTTTGTAAGTGAAAGTGTTGCTAAAATATCTAAAACGGATGCATTCTCGTGTACGTTGGTCGGGTGGGAAGTTCAATTTTACGCCCAGCAAAAAAGCAACGTAACGAGGTGACGTAGTTGCGTACTAAATAAAGCACATAAAGTTACAATTGCGCATGTCAAGCAATTCTTATCGCTGACTTCTACAGCCAACATACAAATGTATATAGTACTGATTCATACATACAAATAAATATTGTGTGCATGTATATATATATATATATATATATATATGACGCGTCGAAGTCAGCGTCGTGGATGAGATCTATGTTTTGTTTTTAATACAACGTATGTAAATATGTAAGAATATATATGCATATAGAGCGCACCACCCTCTTTCACCCCAAAACTCTTTTTTTTTTTTGCTTTTCCTTTCAATGAGCATTTGGGAAGCGTTAAGAGAGTTGCAAAGAGTAAAAATGCAAAAGTTATCTGGCTCTTACTTATACTTAAAGAACTTTGCTATGTAATATAAATATAATTAAAATAATTAACAATGAGAATATACATACATACATATCGCTACCTATAGGTGAAAAGGTGCCAAGTCCATTTTTTTCAAAATTTGGTTTTTGATGCAGAATGGCGGGAAATACGAAACTATATCGATTTTCTGTCTCTCCTAAACATCTTCAAAAAATGGACTTGGCAGCTTTTCACCTTTAGGTGACGATATGTATGTATGTATTAAATAAAAATGTAGTTGTATATTTTAACTATTCATTAAGTTTTTGAAATTTAAATAAATTTTTCTCTTAATTTTGTTCTTTTTCGCTCATAAAGATATCGTCTGATCAAAGGTGCGAGGTGAGTGAACATTCATACATGTATGTATGTATGTATACAATATATGTTGTTATGGTTAAATGATTAGCCAAACTCATGATTATATATATTTATTTTTACTTATTTTCCTATGGAACACGTATCGTAATCGTATTTACACAACTTTGTCATCCACGGCATGGCAGTGGGGAGCAGCGGTCCTCCCTTCTCCTCTGCTACCACCAGTGGGTTCCGAGTTGAATACTTTCAGAGCTGAAGCGTCGTCGAAGGCGCTACAAAGATTCCCGTTCTTATAGACTTTGCCATAACAAGAAGAACCCAGCCCAAACTGATACAGACAGAAGCCACCGCAAGCGAAAATAACAACACCGAAGCAAAATCATTAAACTACAAATAATCAGATAGAACGACTTGTTGCCGAGAAGCGCCGTCTATGATGAAGAAAACGTAGACGTCTTAGCACTTTATCTAAAAAAACGTATTTCAGCTAAACATTACAACAAACGGATTTGTTTTGCCTTTATTTCCTGCTGTCCTGCTAACTGAATCAATAAAAAGTGCACTTGAGAATGTGAAAGTCATCATAGAACCACTGAACTTAAAGGAAGCTCCGGGACGTGATCTTATAACCACACGCAGATGATCATAGAACTTCCTTGTACCTCCACAACATACATTTCAAATATATTTAAAGCTATACTGAGATGTGGCCATTTTCCAACACTTTGGAAGAAGTGACTTATAATAATGATGCCCAAGCCGGGAAAAGACAAAACCCAACCCGCTGCCTTCCTTACTTTTGGAAATCCTTTGAAAATACTTTGCTTCTCAAGATTGTTGCACAAGCAAGGAACATTATACCCTCGAATAAATATGTATTCCGGTCCCAACACGGTACCTTAGAACAAGTTTACCGTCTAACATCCGAATAAGGACGGCATTTGAACGGAGAGAGTACTGCTCAGCAATTTTTCTGGACGTCGCTCAAGCATTCTTGCGAACATATGTACACAAATTTCTTCAAAGGTACGTTAACAACCGAATTTTTTCCAGGAATTCGATATCACAGCCGGAGCTCCGCAAGGAAGCGTCCTTGGGCCGTTGCTGCGTATATGGTACACAGCGGATAATCCGACAGATCCCCGTCTCACACCTTCCACCATCCTTTGACGGCACGATTCCTTTCCAAGTCTTTAAACTACAGTTCGAAAAGACGGCTACAGCAAACAACTGGAGCATGGAGGATAAATCTGCTGCTCTGTTCGTTGCACTAAAAGGACCTGCAGCGAAAATCTTGCTGACTATCTCTGACTGTGAAAGGAACAGTTATGAAGCGTTAATGGGTGCAGTAGACAGACGTTGTGGTAGCGAGCACAGGAGACAGATTTATCAGATGGAGCTGGAGAATCGCTGCCAAAAATTCAACGGGACTCTTTAGGAATTCGCCTCAGAGATGGACTGGCTTGCCCACTTGGCAATTGGGGACGTACCTGGTGAGTACCTCGAAAGGGTAAAAGTCCAGAGGGTCATCAACGGACTGCGAGACATTTATACCAAGCGAGCAAGGCTCCACAATTCAGCACATTGCAAACCCAGGGCTGAAGGAGACGAATGACGAATTTTGTATGGATAAATGTACATTCAGAGTAGCATTTAGAGCTAAATGTGCTTTTACACGTAAGCTAAAACAGCCCATAGGGCTGATCGGAATATGCGCTCTCTGTGAAGGCAATACCTGTAATTATTGTAACATGGATTTCTTCAAACACAACGCCAAGGCGAATTCATTAAAGGGCAAAATAAAAATTACAATTACAAATCAAGGCGAATTTATACAAGGTGGTATTACTGGCGAATTTAGATTTTCGCCGCGGTACTTATTAATGACAAAATGATGTGTTTGTTATAAAAAAGGCGAATTCATATTACAACAAACACACTATTTTTACATTAAATTCGCCAATAACACAACCTTGTATAAATTAGCCTTGATTACAAATTGTACGCACAATGACAGCGAGAATCACCACAAATGATTGTGATTTTGTTGACTTTTACTACCACCGCGGCGAAAATCACAACTATTCTGGCAACCCCACCTTGTATGAAAGCGCCTTGATTGTCAAAACAAGCCCGTGTATATCACCCTGTACTTCCGGTGGTGCATTCCAGTGAATTTCAGTTTCCGGCAGTGCACTCCAATGAATGCAGCGAATGACACTTGAAAACACAATTGGGGTGTTCACAGTTCGTTCCAACTGTCAGCACATCTTTCTAGCAGTCGTCGCAAAATTGTCGCAAAACTTTGCTGGTGTTGCCAGATATTTATTCTTTGTCGCAAAACTTTACTGGTGTTGCCAGACATTTCTTCTTTGGGTGCATTTTTTACATGTCGCCTTTCGTTTTTGGTCTGAAAAATTGTAATTATTTAACTTAGTTACCAATTTCTAATATTTGTTGTTTCTTCTCCTTGATTTGTTTCTTTTCATCAGAAATTGCGCTCAAATTAAATGCAAATACAGAAAACGTGCCCAATAAATAAAAAAAATGTGATTAGTATTGTCATAATGCAACCCTGCTGCGAGGTTGCAATATGTAGACGCTTAAAAAACATACCTTTGAGTGTAACAAAATGTAGACGGCATCGTTTTCCAATTTTGTATGGGAAAAAACAACACCACAGATATTACGGTTAGAAAACGTCTTAAAATGTAGACGTCTACATTTTGAGACTATTTGGAACAAACTGTGAACACCGCAAATAGTTGCGTTCCAGATGCTTCACGATCAGGTTTTTACAGGAAGCCGTTCCAGGTGACCACCTTCCATCAGGCACTATCTTCACAGGAAAACACTGATGTCGTGATAACCATGTCACAAAATATATTTCCAATGGAGACCGCCTATTTCTCATGGGCTGCAATATATGGCAGCGCTTTTTGCTTGTCATATATTGCAGGCAATTTGATAGTTTGACAGCCATATTTTCAATTGAAAATCGTATTGGTCGTCAAAATGACAGTTGGTAGGCCATCATGATGCAATAATACAAGGTGGTATCAGTTGTGACAGCTCGAATTGACACTGCCTTAGCTCAGTAGAATAAGAAGAAAAAACGGCAAGAAATTAATCCCCATTTGGGGGAAAAATATAAAATTTCATATTTTCTTCTAAACAAAATTTGCTTTTTTATAGTATATTCGTAATGAAATGAAATAAAATAAGATAAAATACCTTTTTGAGAAAACAAAATGTGTAAACTGAGAAAAAATAAAAAAAGTTCAACTATATTGTTAGGCAAAGAATTGTTATAGGGAATTTACGTGATTCAACTCTCACAGGCGATTATTTGAACCAAAAGTTTAACGAAAGTAGGCAGCAGACCAACATCATTGAAAGCGATTAGTTGAAAGGCCTTTTACACCAGGCGATTGTTGCTTTCAACTAAAAATCGCCTGAAAAATCGCCCCATGTAAATTCACTATTAAAGAAGTAACACTGTTTCACCTAAGGCAGTCAATATGGCGGCATTAGAGCGAGAAGTTGCCAACCGATAACACCTTGTATTACTGCATCATGGTAGGCCATCGGTGTTTGCCTGTAGAGTTCTGCGGTAAGGTTTATTAATGGAGAAACAGCTGTTCCTGCAAATCGTGACACATTTGGAACGCAACTAATGACAATGAAAACAAATGAAAATGAAACAAAAATAGACGTCGTTCGTAGCATTTGTTTACTTTTTATTTAGTGCATCTGTCTATTTGCCTAAAATTAATTGTGGAGCCGGCGGAGCAACATTCTGGTTATTATAAAGGAGTAATTTATAAATCAATTATATAAACTTTACTACATTTACATATATCCATATACATATGTGGGTATAATTGCAAGCGTTTTGAAATTCATTTATTGGTTTGACAACAAACTAGTAAATTTTGTACAATACATGCATGCGTACATGCATAGCTGGCTGAACTCATTCTAGGTAAAGGAAAACCGCATTTCCATAATCCACAAAACAAATTCTTTAATTATAAACATATTTCTTACAGAAAGCCTTTATTTGCCTCCTTGGGATTCTACAATGGATGAAACCGAGGTAGTGATAGAAATTGAAAACTGTGATTCCGATGATGCGGATGCAATGCTTGCGCAGATAAAGAAAGAACTGGCCGACGACAGTGCTCCTCTAACACCCGAAAAAGAAAATATAGAACTATCAGTCTGCACTAAATCTGAAAAAGATGAACCTGATTCTACATACAATATTATAGAAAGCAGTGACATAGATGATGCTTCCCCATTAGTTGCTTCACAAACCGTTGATAAATTTATTATATACGAACTAGATCAGGATAATTTTAAAAATGATGTACCAGCAATGCTTGAGAAGCCACAAAGCGCAGAGATTGAAGCATACCAAAAACCAGCAAAAGGAATTAATGAATTCAATGCTGCCAAACGTCATTTTCCAAATTTAAACGATATATCGAAAACAACGAGCCCAATGGACAACCCTCTATTGGAAATAAATGATATTGCACTAAACGATGCCCAAGACATCATTTCGCTGGTATCATCTGATGAAGACGAGGTGAACGTTACAAATGGCTATCCGATTCGGAAGTCTAATACTGATACAACAACACTATCTAACTCGAAAAATGCTAAATCGAAAAAAAGAAAACATGCCGATGTAGAAGCAGACGAGAAAAATGATACTGTAAAAAATTACCACCATCATATCTCTACTGACGTTTTCACTCAACTCGAGTTAAAAGACTTCTTTGAGCGTGCGTTCGAAAAAACACGAAAATTAAGCATCAGAAGGCGCCAGATAATTAAAATGTGGCTGTTTAAGGCCGTTTGTAAAGCGCAAGAAGATTTAGAGGCTAACAAATTTTGTGAACCATGTTACAAAGCAAAGAGGAAAGCAGTCAAATGGAAACGCTAATTATATAAGAAAAATTAAAC